TCCTTCCCAGGCCATACATTTTAGAACTCATAAAGCTCTTTTCTTCCAAGTCTTCTGAATAAAAAGACATAAAAACATACTAATATTTTAATATTACTATTAATAACACTAATACATAACTACTAATACCAATATTAATACTAATATTGTAACATTGTATCACATATCAATCATATATCATTTCATATCATATCATATATATATTTTAGGAATTCCAAAATCAGGGCTACAGTTAAAGCTACCACCTAGAATAGTGGTGCCCCATGTAAGTACTGGTTCAAATCCTGGGTGCTCCACTTCTCATCCAGCTGCCTGCTAATGTGCCTGGGAAAGCAGTGCAAGATTGGCCAAGTGTTTGGTTCCTGGCTCAGCCCTGGTTGTTGTATCCTAGGGAGTGAACCAGTAGGGAGAAGCTATCTCTCTCTGTTTTTGTCTGTTTATGTTTCTCCTGCTCTCTGACTTGTTCAAGTAAGTAATTTTTTTGATTTATTTATTTTTATTGAAAAGATAAATTTACAAAGGAAGGAGAGATATGGAGAAAGATCTTCCGTCTGCTGGTTCACTCCCTAAGTGGCTGCAGTGGCCAGAGCTAAGCCTATATGAAGCCAGGAGCCAGAGGCTCCTGCAGGCCTCCCATGTAATGTAGTGCGTGCAGGGTCCCAAGGGCCCAGGCCATCCTTGATTGCATTCCCAGGACACAAGCAGGGAGCTGGATGGGAAGTGGAGCATCTTGGACACCCATAGGGGATCCTGGTGCTTGCAAGGCCAGGATTTAGCCACCAAGCCATCAAGGAAAGCAGAGTTTCAGGAGGTAGGTTGATTGCTCTTTCAAGGTTCCAAACTTAACTCCTCTTGGCACTTTCTGTATTTTGTCTGTCTTATGACCAGCGTGGTGAGAATATGTATCAGAGTGACTCTTTGCATCAAACCCACTTGGAATTTATGGATCACCTTAGATATGGAGACTCATGTCTGTCATTAGCCTTGAGAACTTTTTACATGTTATTTCTTTCCATACTCTTCTGTATAAACATCTACACCCATTCATCCCTCATCTGCACTGAAGGGCTCCATGTGATGATGGTGCCACCACATGGCTTCAGCAGCACCAGCCATTAACAGCTCTGCCAAGGCCTCCCGCTCCTCCTTTGCTGGGCCTTGGAGATACAGGGGACAGTTAGAACTTCTGCCATCTTCTGAGCAACCTCACGGCTCCAAAGTGTGTCCTTGTCCTTCTTGATTCCCAAGAAGGAGGTGAGGGTGATAACATGTCTTTGTTCTAACAATCATCAGTGCCCTGGGCATTTGTGAAGTTAAAATGCATACTTGTAATTACTTTAGACAAGCACATAAATACTCCCCAGGTTTTGCTGCTTGCCACAGTCTCAAATGATTACTTTGGGAAGTTCTTTCCACCCCCCACCTCTTGCAGGATTTTTGTCATCCTTGTTGCTTTCATAAAGAACCAAAGTTTCAAAGATTGTTCACTGACACCACTTCTTTATGTTTTTGTTATTTCCTCCTGCCTTGCTTCCGAGACCATCTCATGATTAGAGGGTGTTGAGTTCTCTGTGTGACCCATTGCATGATGCTGTTGCTGGCAGGTCAGGGGTTGTTTTGGAAATCCTTGTCTTGGTGTAGTTGCTCAGTTACTGATAAGAGAGTTGTGATTACTAGAGCAAGTAAGATTGTGCAACTAAAGGATTGATATTAAAATAACTAAAGGGATTCTATGTTTGAGTTGGTAATTGCCATAGAAGAAATTTTCTTACATACTGGTGTCCTGTAAATTCATGCACTCATGGCCTCAAGTCTCAGTCTGCCAATTCTATTTTTTTGTCCATTTCCTCATTACCTTAGAAGTTATCTAAACCACCTAATTCATTTTATATCCCCTGTCACTCTCCCTCACTTTCCTCTAACTCTCTTCATCTATCTTAAGAACGTTAAAGCCATGGTACTGTTCTCAAATGACTATGGTTCGCCCCTTCTTATGTATTCACTTTTATCAATAAGTCATGTGGCAGGAGAATTAAACATAGTTAAGAAAGAGACTTGTTTGGATGCTCTAGGCCCGGTAGATAAGACTAAGAGTTGGAGAGGGCTGGGTAGAAGGGGGCCATATGGGGTGGTGAGGAGGGGGAGGAGTGTGTGCAGGATCCTGCAAATGTGTCTCTCTCAGTTTGACTAAGTTGAGTTCTTAGGACAGATTCAAAACTGGTTAATGTGAGATATAAATGAAAATTGTTTCTTTTCACTAAGGAATTGTATATGTTGTACAGGTAGACATTTGGTGGAAGTTACTCGTTGGTTGGAGGGTATATTTTATTGCTTATTTGTAACAAATGCTAGATGTTTAAAAATATCCCTATAGTGGGCTGAATTGTGTCTTCCAAAAAATAGGTTCAAGCCTTGATCCCCAATATTTGCGATATTGGGAAATGGGGTGAAATGAATGCAGATGAAATGAAGTTAAGATGAGATCAGATTATGTTAGGGTGGTCTCTGAATCCTTTGACTGACCTCCGTCCTTGTAGGACAACACCACTTGCTACCCAGCAAGGTGTTTGAAATAGAATGCATGCCGAACATAGGTGCTGAGGAAAGGAATGTGTGGCCTTGCCAGAGTCCCAGTGAGGGTGGGGCAGGGAAGGATTCCTGGAGGGAAGGGTGTGGACCTGCTGACACCCTGAGTTTTTCTCCTTTCTAACCTGTAGAATAAAGAGAAAATCTGTTGTTTGAGCCACCCAATTGGTGGTATTTTCTTAAGCAATTGGAAAAAGGTATTTCCTTAGTTTGCTCTTGAAATTAATTTTATAAATAAGCCAGTATGTTATCAATTGGTAAATAGAAGTAACCTCAGTCACTTACAAAGTAAGAATAAAATGTATGTTGGCTTAGATTTAATGATAACACTTTGAAACCTGGATTACAGGTGCAGCACTAGGATTCTTAGGGAACTGGCTGGCCCTTCATGGGTGCTTCAAAAATATGAAGCTTGGAAGAGCTTCTTTATTCCACTCTCTCATTTGAATCTATGATTTCATCTGGAAAAGCTCAATAATTTTTTTCCCTAGGGAAATTACTGTTAAGAATACCTTGGGATGGGTCTTTCCTTCCTTGGAACTCCCTCCTGTCACAACTGCCTCACTTCCAATTTACTCCCTGCTAATTCACCTGGAAAAGCAACAGAGGACGGCCCAGTTACCTAGGCTCCTGCCACCAAGTGGGAGACCTATATGAAGCTCGTAGCTTTAGCCTGTCCATTTTGGCTATTTGAGTAATGAACCAGCAGATAGAAGCTTGCTTTCTCATTCTCTCTTTCTCTCCCTCTCTCTCTCCCTGTGTCTCTCCCAATTTTGAAGTAACATTAAAGAATCTCTTTTTTTCTAGACTCAGCGTATTAAGCAAATATATGGTTACTTTCTGTAGATTTCCTTGAAAAACTAGATTTGAAATTTGCCCTTGATGTATTTTAGACAACTGGTAATGAAGACATTTCACAGATCTTGAACCATATAATGGATTTGTTAGAATTCATTTATTAGAGCTTATGTTTTAAAAGCTTTTGCTTGTAACTGTATGATCTTCCTGTTACTAATCACTGCACCTTCAGAAGACTAAAACAGCACCCACCTATCATCTGATATGGACTGAGCTGAGCACCCTGCTCGGCATCTCCCACTTTCTGTAGGTCTACACTTCTGACTGACTGCTCAGGGCAGCAGTCTGCTTCCAAACTCACTCATTTTTCTGGCTGAATTCAGTTCCTTGCTGTGTAATGACTCAGCTGCCCATGGCCTGCTGGTTGTTAGCTGGGTTCTGGTGTCTGCTCTGGGCTGGCCGAAAGATGGTTAATGTGTATTAAAGCTCCAGAATTATAGCTGAGTCTGTATAGTCCCTTGTACCACATCAAGCATATGTTGTAAGGATTCATGTGGCAGGGAGTGTCATCTTCCTGGGACCATCCTGCCATTTGCGTTGGTGGATATCAGCCACTGGCTTGGTAGTCAGGGGCATTCATTATGAAAAGTATCAATGTAAAAGATTATAAAATAGATTTCGTATAGAGCTGCTATAACACTTTTCAGCTCCTGGAAGCAAGTAAAGCGACTGTTTGGTAAGGGTGAGAAATTTAGGAATTAGTGGACAAAAAACACACTTCTGGGTAAACAAGGAGAATAAAAGGGAGTGAGTCATTCCCCTAATGGAAGCATAATTGTAAAACATTGTCTTCCAATTTCAGATTCTAGGAAGCTTTGATTGCTTGAAGTAATGAGATACCCCTCACTACCAGAGACTAGGTAGACTAGGGGTAGTAACATTTCCCATTGATCTTGCTGTTACCTGCCATCTGTCAAGGAACTTGAGTTTTTCATTTCTTCACTGGTGACTTATAGCTCTCCAGGGTTGCAAGCATGACAAAAGAATCGACACTACGAGTGGAGATGGTCACCCTTCATTTTTGTGTTAGGATCGGGGCAGACTTAAGTCTGTGCATCTCTATGGGGAAGTCAGAGGCAAGACAACATCCACCGAACTGAATTTCCTTCCTATCAGAATTCTACAGTCAGACTGGAAAACATTTGTCTTTTCTTTTAGTAACAATTTTACAAAGGACTAAAGTGAATAGTTACCCATGTTATAGCAGTTACCACATTTTCATGTATCCCGTTGATTACACACAAAAATAAAATGGCTTTTTTCCCCTTGTAGTTAGCTTATATCCCAAAGCATAGAAGTAGATACAAAAGAACTGTCTCATACTTTGAAGAAACCATATTAAGGATTGCTTTGCATCAGAGAAACCAAGTGTGACTCAAGTCTTCTATTCTCAATCATGGAACCTTCCTTGTGTACCACATACTCACTGAATGGTATTTTTAAACAGAGCAAAGGAAATGTTTTACAATTAGTCCAACAAGACGAGAATTATGACTGGAAGAAAACTTGTTAAGAATTACTATTTACTGATGAGCACTTGCCACTTTTCCATTTAGGTGAGAAGAGATTCGAATGCCCAGAGTGTTCCAAAAGGTTCATGCGGAGTGATCACCTCTCTAAGCATGTGAAGACACACCAGAACAAGAAAGGCGGCGGGACGGCTCTGGCCATTGTTACCTCGGGAGAACTGGACTCGTCTGTCACAGAGGTGCTGGGCTCCCCACGAATTGTCACAGTCGCAGCCATTTCCCAAGATTCGAATCCAGCAACTCCCAATGTTTCAACCAACATGGAAGAATTCTGAAACGACATTTCTAACAGAGACCTCTAGTGCCGCACTTAACGTTTACACACCTTTGAATAGCTGGAAACGGGCTGGTCACGTGGATTACAGAGTAGGAAATCATGTTTTCATTCTTGGCTTCTTTAAGTATTCCTAGGTTTTGGGCAACACATGAAGTGTTGAATTTTTTTTTCAAGTACACGAAGCAAACTAATATACCGGAAACAAAGAAGTATTTCCTCCATGCTCTAAGTTGTAGTTATTTGGAAGTACAGCATGTCACCTTTCCATAGATTCTTCCCCTGTCTTAACATCATGTGTTCACAGGTTTCAGAAGACCTCAGTTGTTTGGCAGGCTGGACCTTAATTAGGCATATTTTCTTTGAAAATACTTTCTTACAAATGCATTTCTTCTATCCATAGCACAGAAAACAGTTAACTGATAACAAGGACAATACTGTATTTCCTTAGCTTGGTTTTTGGGGAAAAAAATCAACTGAAAGTAGTTTTGGCCGTCTTTTCTAAATCGTAGAAATTCTTCAACAGTTGAACTAGGTAAGTCCCAAAACAGTCATCTGAGATGCGTCTCAGATCTTTGTTACCACTACATTGTAGTAGTGCGTATGCAGACAATCAGTGAAGTTCAATTGTTTTCTCCATTTGGAGACACAGGAGGAACCCCGAGCTGAATCTTAGGTTAAATTTTTAGGTTGAAACTTTAGGGAAAATGCTAGGGGGGAAAATGGTTAAATAAATTTCCTAAGAGCTTCAGAAAAGTGAAATGAAGCAATTTAATGTGCATTGTGTTAAAGCTAGGGTTGATTATATTCCTAACCCTAGGCTGAACCACGAAATTCAATTTTAAATGTTTATATTGGAAATATTTGCATAGAGTGTAAATCGTTCTGTAGTTTCATATTCTGTAAATAGGAGTTATGTTGACAACGCGCAGACATCTTTATGCTTTGACATGGTAGCCAAAGAATTATCAACTTTTTTTTTAAGGCCAGCAGAAAATTTATCTTTTAACTATACATTTTTGTTTTCATTTTGCTTTATTAAAAATTGGCCAATTCCATTTTACTTCTAGTACTGTTAGAAGGTTAATTGAAATTCATAGCACAGTAACATCTTTATGTTATACCAATAACTGACTTTTCCCTAAAAATCTAGACAGCCTAGCAAATATATAATAGATATAATATTATGGAGCAAAACTTATTTTTGAGAATCAGATTTTCAGTCAGATAATGACTGAAGAAAAAAAAAATATATTTCATTCTATATGAAAGGGTCTTATAGTCAAGAGTCTTATTAGGAAAGATGGCCAAAAGATTCCTTATGGAAAATAAGTGAATTATGCCAGTAGCTTAAACATTTGTAAGATTTAGCTTGTTTTTAAAAAGCATTTCCACAGAATCATAATTAGTGAAATCAACCATTTGGAAACTAAAGTTTTTACTCCCTGCTCAGTTGAACAGCACTGGTTTGAGAACTGTTTGAATACAGGTGTATGTTTTCTCGTGCATTCTCTATGATTTCAGGAAAAGTACTACTCATGCGAATTCTCTTCCAAAATTGTGGTGTTTTCTTGTATTTTTGATGAAGGAGAAATACTGTAATGATCACTGTTTACACTATGTACACTTCAGGCCAGCCCTTTGTAGCGTTATATAAAACTGAAGCCTTTTGTGCTTTCAGTTTGTATAAAAAAGCTTTGAGATTAAAGGAAAAAAAAATTTTTACACTGTGGTTATAAATTTCAAGTTTCTTAAAGCTTTTGTAGACTTGTAACAAAGTCTTTAAATTTTAAGTTGGATTTTGTAAATTGTTTTGTATATTTTATTTAATGTACTCCTAACAACTGATGTATCTGGCTTTAAAACATCAGAATCAGTTTGTTGTTTTGTTTGGTACAGAGGAGCGTTTGGTAGTGTTCAGTTTAATTTTATTATATAGGAGCTGAAACATCAAATATATATTTTATCTATCATTATGCTACACAATCAGTGCTATAAATTTTTTTATGCAAAGAAACTTTCTTAATGTTCCAATCATGTTTCTTTTGAGCGACACTGTTGTTACCGTTGCCACCAGGAATGGGCACTCTGCATCGCGACCCCATGCGCCAGCTTCCCTGCAGTCCTGTGTGTGTTCACTCGAGATGGAGGCTCATTTTCTGATCAACAATGAGGCCTAGTATAAATTTCTCAAACTGAGTCTGGATAGCTTTATAGCATATCAAATGTGTTCATTTGTGTTAGCAGGTGCACATTTCACCACCGAAATTAGAAATTTCTTGACAGTCTGTTCTGCATACCATTCTGAGTCCACTTTCCTGTCTTAGAAGAACCGTAAATCTCAATGTCCTTTATTTGACTCAGTGGGAATAGCAGTTATAAGTAATAGGACACAGATGTGCAGTAGAGTCTTGTTTAATGGCATTTCACTGTTCATTCCCTTTGCCACCATTATAAAGCTTTTCTTTATTGTAATTATCAGTGCAAAGCTATGTATTTATCATGGTAGAACTTGAGTGTTAGAATAGTTTTTTCTTACAGTATACTTTCTTTGGTTAGGTTTGTGTATGTGTTGCTGATTACATTAAGAACTTGATGTTAAGTCATTATTTATCACACTCTCATGAGAGCAGTAATAAAAGTGTGTAATCTAGGAGAAAAAGTTAATTTGTCAAACTTAGATAAGCATGATGTTTAGGTCCTATTTTTCAATTTTATAACTGTTTTATTGCAACAATATTTGTATTTAAGTCTCCATTTTAATGCCTTGTGGTGTTTTTTTATGCATGTCACTAAGTCGTCATCCCACATAAATTGATGTGCAGCATAGGGTATTAAATCTACATAATGATTTTAAAGCAGAAATAGTTGATGGTAAAATGTAAATGTTTTGCAAAAATTCCTTATAAAAAATTTTGTAGTAACATTTCACTTGTAAATTTTTTTTGTAAAAAAAAATGAAAATGAAAAAAAAAAAGATGAATCAAAAAAAATGTTTCCCGTATCCTAGAATTTAGACAATTATTCTGCCAGCAAAGCCTCCAGGGCTGTAATTGACATTTTTACAGTGCTGATTTGTATAAAATTTGGTTTTTTGTGGATTTGGAAATAAAATCATGTACAAGTTGTTGCCTGCAATAACAATTGCAAGTAACCTATTAAAAATTCCCTTGAGTTTAACATGTTTCATTTAATTATGTATACTATCAAGCAGCAATAAATTGTTTGAACTATCAGACTGACCACAATGAACATTCCAAGGTGAAAGGCTTCTCAGTAGAGCACACATCGGCCGTCCGCAGGGTTCTAGTGCTAAAACTCAGTCACCACTTCTCTGAACACACAGATAATCCCAACTCTGCACTGTTAACTTGTAGCCATTGCTCTAGAGGTTTCTGGAAATTAAAATTTGGTTTAGAGAAGATTTTTACTTAAATGTCTTTGAGCAGTAAATGTTAGGAAATTATAGGAAGAACTAATAATGAAAACAGTGATAAAAGTGCACAGAAACTGATGTAGCTCATGGACATACATGCCACCAAGTCTTTAAGCGAAGGAGGGCTTTACCTCCCAGAAGAACCCTGCAGAGCCCATGAAAACCTTACCAGTGTAATGAATGCTGATGGTCATAATTTCAGTGAACCTGGTTTCAAGCCCATACTCCCGTAGGTCCCAAACAGGTAGAGGAAGCCGGGGGATGAGCTGTTAGGTGGTAAAGGAGGTCCACTGGCCCACTGGCTCTCAGAGGCAGAGGCTGTGACGGTGGGTGGTGATGTAGCCTTGCCCAGCAAGCTCTGAAGGCATGGCTTTGCCACAACTTAGTACGATAGTAAGTAGTCAGAGTGGGCCTTGAGGCACAGCCATTGCTCTGGGACACTGCGTCTGGTACAAGAGTGCCTGCTTCTGATACAGCTACTCACCACTTGTGATCCGGATTTTTGCTGATGCTCCTGGGAGGCAGCAGACCAGGACCCGGTACTTGGGTTTCTGCTGCTTGAGTGAGACCTACAGAGGGAGTTCCTGCTCCTGGCTCTGGCTTGGCCTGCAACCTTGCAGTTGCTGCCATTTGGGGAGCAAACTAGGAGATGGAAAATTCTGTCTCTCTTCCTTTCTTTTAAAAATTTAAAAAGAAGAAAATATAAATTGATGAGGGTGATTCAAAATTCAAGGGCCATTGGACATGAATGCCTCACTCTGCAAAATAAGTTATTAAGAAGTTTGTCAAAAGATGTTTTCTCAAAAACAAAGGCATGTTTTTCTGTTCCCACTTGGGAGCATCAAGATGATATTGTATAAAGAGAGAATAACGCTATTAGAAAATTAAAGAACATTTCAGATTTTTATTTTTAATGTAATAAGCATGTGGTTTCAGAACTAGGGTTTTAACGTTATGAATAAAAGTAAATCACAAAGGGAATGAAGGGACAGATTACTTCCTCATAGGTTGTTGCCATAAATCCTTAGGTGTAGGTAGTGTTCACCACATATGGTGAAGCTGACTTCAAGATAATGGGAAAACTTGCCTTTGGTATATTTCATTTTTATTTTAAAATCCAAACGCTTAATTGTATGGGGTGTGGAAACTTCTAAGTGTCAGCAAGAAATACTTTCCTAGTGAATTTGCAGTGTATGGCTATATTTACTGACTAAGCAAAAACTCTGCTTAATGTACATAATCCGTTTGTAACTGTGTAGCTGGGTTTTTTAGGCATGTGTTTCCATTCTTTCAAGATTTGCTGATTAGCATAAGCCTGGGGCTGTGTTGCTGTAGGTAGCAGGTGGCAGCGAAATAACTTATTTTTGGGTTCCTGAGAGTAGTCTCAAGTGCTAATAGTGGAAGTAAGAGAGAGCCTGGGAGGGAAGGTGAAGACTGGTTTATAAGGCAGAGGGCCAGTCTCCCTCTCCATAGCACTGCTGTGACCATGGAGATCACAGGTTGAGAGGCCAAGGAGTGTGGGCTCCATGTCTGATTTTGCCGCTTGGAGCCACAACCTTGGGCAAATTACCCATTAATGCATCTGTTGGCTTGTTTGCAGAATGGGGATGAGCTAAGGCAACACGCACCTGGCAAATGGCAGTGTCCAGTAATTGGAATTTACTGTTAATTCTGTATTAACTGAAGAAAGGGAGTCCCAGCACATCCTAGCTGCGGGAACAAAGAATCCCTGAGTAGCTTATAAGCAGCAGAAATGTATGTCTTTCTCTCTACATGCTGGAAGTCCAGGGTCAGGATGCTGGCATATTCAGTATTGAGTGAGGACCATTCCCTGCTGTATATATTCCCTGGACACTTTCTGGGCCTCCCCATGGTGGAAAGGACAAAGCAGCTTCCTGGAGCCTCATCAGGCACTAGTCCCACTAGTGTGGACTCCACTGTGTTTATATAAGCACTTCTGGAAAGTCCCACATTCTGGTACCACTTTGACAATTAGACTTTGACGTGGGAACTGTGACGGAAGTACGTACACACCCTAGCAGGGGATGTGGCATAGTCCCCACTAGACTGTTGCTGGAATATTTGGAAAATGAGCAACAATAGGCAGAAAAGTTGTCCAAAAAAAAAAAAAAAAAAACAATGGCAAGGAAAAAGAAAAAGCAAAGACTGAATTCAGACACACATTTTTGTCAGACTCTTCTGCAAGCTAATGAAGGTACTGTCACTACATGTGACACCATGGCAGTCTTGCTGGGGCTTCCATGGGACCCACTTGGTTTCTCTCCTGGGGGAGAGGAGACACAGCAGATCTGTAGGGAGTAGCTATGGCTCACGTTAGGTTGGGCACATTTTAACAGGTTTCAGATCAGAGTGAGTGACCCAAGAAACCCTATTTGGGAACTAAGATCAGGCAAAAAGAAATTCTGGAGAGAGGGATGAGACCAGTTGGCCAAAATGGCAATTCATGTTTAAAATGTTCCTTTCTTGGTAGTTGGCTTGGTCCAAATTATGCTGCTGATTTTCCTGCTATGAAAATGTGCTTTAATGAAGAAGTTGTTAGTAGTATTCCTTGTGAGCTATGAAAGGTGTGATAAAATTATATTTTCTATTGATAAAGTTGTCCCTTGCTTGTTTAGTTTTTATGGCAGGATTTAAGGCATTAGTGATGTGTGGAGCTGCACGGGCAGGGTATCCTGGTGTCTAAGAATCTGCTCTCCCTAACGAGTGTGAAAACCATTGTTGAGGGACATACTTTAAGGACAGAACCTAAGCCAGCTGAAGAAGCAAGATTCAGTTCAGAAATATAAATGATTGTAGCTTTTTTGTTGTTGTTACTTTATCCTTTGTCAAGGTCAAACCTAGCTATATGATCTGCACCAAAAGAGACCTGTTAATTGTGGTTTCCCTGAACTTTTTAACATATCCTCATATATGCATATACAAAATGTATATGTGTACATACTTGGTCGAACATCGTTATACTTCTAATTATAATTTATGAGAACTAAATTTATTTATTTTTGTTGCTTTCTTTTCCTTTATGTGGACAAAAAGATAGCATTGTTAGAAAATGAAGCTCTTTTTGGTGACAATTCATATACTTACTTCAATTTTTTAATTTTCTGGAGTAAATCATGACTAGCACAGGGTTTTTTGTCCTATGCAGAGAACTCCTTTCATTTTGTTTTATTGTTCAACCCATACTTCATGATAATTTGTACTATAAGTCTCGTAAGGGGCTGGTGTGAAGCATAGCAGCTAGAGCCAGTGTCTACAACACTGGGTACTGTTTGTGTTGCCGGTGCTCCACTTCTGATCCAGCCTCCTGCTGTTGAGCTTGGGAAAGCCACAGAAAATGGCCCAAATGCTTGGGCCCCTGCATCCACACAGGAGATCTAAAAGAAGCTCCTGGCTCCTGGTTTGGCTGGGCCCAGTCATGTAGTCATTTGGAAAGTGAGCCAACAAATGACAATTCATTCTCTCTGTTTCTCCCAGTCTTCTCACATCTCTGCCTTTCCATTAAGTAAAAATAAATCTTGAAAAATAATCTTTGCAATTATGGTGTCTTTTTTTTCTTAAACATGTGGAATCTTTTTTTTTTAATTTGAAAAACCTTTAAAAAATCTATTCCATATTTTCAGGAAAGTTACCTTGTTTCTAAAGTGTCTCCCGTATTAATTTATGTTTATTATGCCTGCTTGAGTCTTGATGGTTCTCTAAAGAATTAGCAATATGACAAAAGAGGTGATAATCATCAGAGGACTTACTAAAATATATTCAGTATTTTGTTTTGTCCTAATTGAAATATTGATCAGGTTTACAATTTAAGAATTTATGTCTTTAAGAACAATGTATTACTTAACTCTGGGGATAGTTTGTAATACTCCATAAATAATTATGATCTTTAAAACAAATCAAATAGCTCTCCTGCTTTCATTGTTTCATGTCTGAGCCGTCATTAGACCCAGAAAACACTCAACTAGTGAACAAAGAAGACACAGCTTTGTTCTCGAGAACCTGCAAAATCCAGTCAATGTTTAGGCATATTCAGGTATTGAGACTTTAAGAGTTGTTCGACTCCAAGTCCACAGTTTGCTTCCCTCAAAAGAATGTAAGATCAGTTGTTGGTACTCGTGATCTTGGATATCACAGTCCTACAGTCTGTATGTGTGACCTAAAATGTGTGTGTTGACACCAAATCCCTATTGAGGTGCTAGTGAAGAGCTGGCGCCTTGGAGAGGTAGTTAGGCATGAGAGCAGTGCTTGTGAATGGGTTGCATGGCCTTGACCAGCGGAGCTCCATGTGATGAACCTGAGAGCAGCCCTGGTCAGACACCTGCTGGCACCTTCATCCGCCTGCAGGATGTTGTTTTGTTGGTGATTCTGTTAGAGCAGACTGTGTGAACTAAGAGCAGAAGAGATAGTCAAAATATTGAAAAAGGGATCAGAGCTGCCCCCAGGTGCTTGTCTGTCCACCTCCTGGAGTTGCAGGATCTGGGAAAGTGATGGGAGGGGAGGAGGGTTGCCCAGACTAGATGTGCCTGTTTCTCTCAGTGTTTCGTGATCTCAGTGTTTCCACTACCCACTGAGCAGGGACAGGGATAGGTGAGTTTGTCCTGTGCTCTGAATTTTCAATCCACATAGAGAAACCCAGCTCTCAGACATCTCTTGTTGCTTTTTTCTTTTTTAAGTTCTTTAATTCATTTGCTGAGTTGAAAGGCGGAGAGGAAGAGAGAACTTCCATTGGCTGGGCTGCTCCCCCCACCAAATGCCCACAGCAACCAGGGCTGAGCCAGGTAAAGGCCAGAAGCCAGAAACTCTCCATCTGATTCTTCCTCATGGGTTTCAGGAAGCCAAGCCATTACTTGGCTCAGTGTGCATCAGTAGGAAGCTGGGATCAGGAGTGGAGTTGGGACTCATACGGGATGCAGGGGTTCCTGAGCACCATCCTTCCTGCTGTGTCAGATGCCCAGCCCTGAAACACTTTCCAAATCATTGTTACTATTTCTCTTCTGCTTCCATCAGCCTGGCTTCTCTCAGGTCTCGACCATGTCCACTTGAGGATAAGCTTGATGTCTTTAGACGGTTCCTGTGTTTGTAACCCTCCACGTCACAGAAGCCATGAAGGGCGGGGATGCTGATGGGAAAAGAATGATCACTGCCATCTGAAGGAAGGCTTGTCAGCTCTACCACTGCCCAGCCAAGCAAGCGGAGGACTGCCAGCCACAGAGGGAAGCGCTGTCTTCGTAAGGCCCTGGAAGTGCTGGTAGTGATTGGTGCAGGAGCTCACTGATGCCTGATGCTCATGGAGTTTAGGGGTTTAGCTCCTTGGAGGGTTGGGGATGTTCCTGATACAAGCAGTATTTGGAGAGTGAGCCAGTGGCTCTCACTGTCCTGCTCTCTGTCTGTGTATGTATGGATGTATCATCTGTATTTACATATCATCTATCATCTCTGCCTCTCAAAGAAATAAGTTGGGTTTTTCCCTTTCAGTAGTAAAGTTTTGTCATCCCTTGATTGACATGGGACCTCTTGGGAGTGCCAAGTGCTGCTTGCAGGGTTGCGCTGTGTATTAGGGGCGTCTGAGACAAGGATACCTCCATCCTCCTCCTGGCTGACCGGTACACCTGTCCCCTTTCTCCTCCAGAGAACCCAGGTTTTGCTCAGGCTCCTCCTAGTGGCCAGCCTGAAGAGGAGGCTGCAGTTGCTCCTGGCTTTGCGAAGCCAACCAGGGAGGTCTCACTTCTCTTGGTAAGTGCAGGTTTGACAAATGGTGATGAGGTTCAACTCTGACAAATTCCACATCAGGGGAAGTCTTCTGGCAGGCATGGAGAGTCCTCCACCTCTGCCCGCCCTCTCCCCCCAAAATGAAGTATTCTCTCTGGGGGTTGCCATCTACACAAAACGCTAGAACCCGTGGCAGTCATGATGGGAGAGTCTCTGACCCGCTGGAGTCTGTGTGGCTTTACTTTACTCCAGCTGCTGCTAGTGCACTGTGTGTTTCTAAAGGCTTCTCCCTGTTTGAGCCTAGATGGCATGCTCTTCCAACCTGCGTGAAGACAGCAGCTCCTTCCCTTTCCCTGCATAGACTGCAGGGTAATTTTCATAGGAAAGAAAAACTGTAGGGATACATACATCCGTACACACACACACACACACTCTTCTTTTTAGCAAGGAAGAATCTATTCTTTGGAAACCATCCTCGTTCCCACACATCCTACTCCATGGCTCTGCGCCTCCTAGAGCTTTCTATACTCCCTGTCTGCAAATTTCCTTCTTGCATTCTCTGTTAGGCTCATTCCAACCAGAGTTTTGAGCCTGTCCCTCCATTAGCAAACAACTTTTCCAGGTCCTGAGCAACCTCTCAATCCGAGATTGAGTCCAACCTCTGATTCTCAGGCTGCAGCCCATTTGTCCTTTCAGAAGAATTTGCTATTCATGCCACACCCCTTTTCTGGAATTCCCTTTTTGTCTTGGCCTCTCCAACTATGCTTTCCTGTGGTTTTGTCCTCACTACACAGACTGCTTTTCCCCTTTCATTGGCTCTCCTCAGTCCCACTGTTTAGTCCTCAGATCATCTAAGGTGAGTCCGCCAGTCCTATAGCTTCAAGTCTCTTCTCTGAGCTATGACTCCACAATTGATTTTCCTACCTCGGGTCTCTTCCTGAACCTACCATCATTCCAATATCTCTCCTTGAACGTATAGTAGATGCCTCATATTTAACATGCCTAAAGCCAACTTTCTGGTTTCCTTCCTCAAACCTTTTCCTTTCCTTACAGGCTATATGAGCACCTTTCAGACTCATTCCTCACTTTTCTAGAAAAAGAATTCTCTTCATTGTTAATGTCTGTTTTACATGTCTTATGTTTTATTTACTCAAGCCTTCAGAATCTTACCACATCTCATAACTTCTTATCCATTCCACTTCTAAATTTGGCCCAGGCTAACATCACGTATCACCTGGGTGATTTGATGATTGCCCTAAGTCTGACGTTTTGTTATCTAGTCACAGAGAACAGCCAGAATGATCTGGTTAAAACCTAAGTGACATATGTCACACTGTTGCTTAAGTGACTCCAGTTTTTTCTCACCTGTATAAATTGGGATACAGACGGACCTGCTCTAACACAGAGAACCAGAGTCAAGAGGAAACCAATGATTCTTAGGTGCTTAGGAAGTTAAGAGGCGTGAATTGCCCTGCCTTATGAACCTGTCTTCTTGCC